TGAAATAAATCATGTAGAAATAATTAAAACATTGCATAGACATAAACACTTGCACGTAGTATCTTACCTTATTAGATGAATGTTGAAAGACAAAATCCACAATTCACGTTCCAAATTCCTTGTAACTTTCTCTACCCCGCGTCCGTGTGGGTTCTATAATTTTTTGTGATGATTGATGTGACCTCTTGCATGTATTTATAGTTGAAAGTAATTGGAGTTTGGAAACAATTAAAATAGGGTCGCCGTGTTTCGTTTAAAAATTGGCAGAGAAGGTTTAAAAAGGTAGGTAACTTTTACCCTTATCTAATAGAGTCATAGGCTAAGGGAACACACACGTGGGCAGAAGGTTGACAAATTCATTGGAATTGGGCATTTCTATTGGAAGAAGGAAAAGAAATCTTTATCAAGTAGGATTTCAATGTACCTTTAACATCTATCAAAATAAAAATATGATTATATCCAAAATATACGTGAATCAGTTGGGAGAGATAAACGTGATTAATATAAATATATTAACACCATACACGTGTAATTGGGAAAAATGTGATTAAATCTTTTCAAATTATAAGATAAAAGTGATTAGAACATAAATTATTATATAATATATCAAATACGTTTCTTCGGGTTGAAATAACTTGGGCTTAACCTTTTCAAATTTACATTTTCTTGAGCTCAAAAATCATTATTTAATGCGAGCTACATAATGAGCCCAATGTCGATATACTTTTGGTCACNAAAAATCATTATTTAATGCGAGCTACAAAATAAGTCCAATGTCGATATACTTTTGGTCACTTTACAGAAACTTAAATATTTGGCCCATTTAAAACATACTTTATTTTAGTCCATCAACTTTCAAAAATCATAAAATAAAATTTATAGAACAAGAAATTTCATTCTAAAATTTTCGGGGTGGTCATCATGTATTTCTTTAATTGTTTCCTACTATATTAGATTAATTAAAACATTACATATAGGGAGCTTATGCACTTTATTTCGCATACTTGATTAATGAGTACAGACATATTTCCTCCCTGCTTCTCTTCTCTCTTCTCTCTCATTTGTCTGATTTTTTCTTACCTTTCATTTTCCCCTTCTTCTATTTCTTCTCGCCTTTCTCTCTTCTCTCCTCTTTCATTTAGCGTGATATGGTGATAATTTTGACTATAACAACTACCGTACTTAAGCACTGAAAGTTACCTTGAGATTATTCTCCGACAAAATAGCAGTGTCACTTGGAGGGTAGTCATTAACATTGCTGCATATATTAACAATTTTCTTTTAATATCAGAAGAAAGGAAGTAGTTAATAAAGGCAAGTCCAATCAAAAAAGAACGTAAAAATAAATAATTGAACTTCAAACATTACCTGAATCCGATATGTTCCTTGTTAGCAAATAGTTTCCCAGTTTTAGGACTTGAAAAATAACCTACACTCGGATTTGAATTAAAACTTAAAATCAATAGTTGGTTAAACATCTAGAAACAAAGTGTTGTTAGATAATAGTAAAAATAAATATGGATTATTTGCAAAGGGGACCGGCTAAAGATGCAATGGAATGAAAGAGAACAGATAATATTCATGCTAACATGGGATGTGTAAGCAAGGTACTGAGTGTCGAGATGACATGAACATAACTAAAACTCAGTACATAGAAGATAAATGTAGAAAACCGTGAGATGGAATTACTTATCTTCTGTGTATAACTTAGTGTAAGTATAAGAATATGAAAGGATCAACAACAATTACACATTATTTCCATTTTATATCCAATTAATTAGTCACAGAATAAGACAGCTTGGAAATAAAAGGATGTTATAGGCATAAGAGTGTTATATTTACAAACGCTATGAGGCCTATGCTTTCTATCCTCATCTCCTCTTTGCTTCTCCTTTTCCTATTAGTTAAATAAGAATACCAAACTTTCCTACTCACCTTCTCCTTGTGCTCCAGCTATTCTTTTTAATCTATAATGTAAAGAGTGTGTCATAGGCGACCTGAAACTTTGTCTGACAACTAATATTTCAATAGTGATATTTTATTCTTTCTTCCATATGAAACCTATATAATATGTTATTTCGTTAAATCTTAAATCCTAGATGTCCAGAGATTCTAGACAGCTACTAAGCTAGAATGAGCAGGTAAGAAAAACAACTAAATAAGCATGTTATACTTTGGTGTATGACACTTTCTACAAAATCAAGCGCTGTAGAGCTGTTTCAGAACTTGAAAGACTTCCTAAAACTAATTTCTTTAGCTTTTCAATGTGGTAAATTTGCATTTTATCTACTTGATTATGCCCTCTTGTCCCCCCTCAGAGGAGAACACAAACAGTAGAAGGTCACGCTTTTGAATTGGAGATTTATTCAAATTGGGGAGCTCCAACTTTCGGTGAAGGTGGAGATCATTGCTAACCTCTTAAGATATGCAAGATGCTCCCCTAATGTTACTATACCAAGAATGTTACACGAAACATCAGTTTCCAAATTATCACTTTTTCCCCATGGAAGGAAAGATTTAACATTCCTAAGTAAGCATATTTGTTGCCTTCTCATATGTGATTCATTCATGTAAGTCTGTTTAATATATGATAATCAAATCATAGAAGATAAGCGAATTAGAAGGAAGATTCAAAAAAATAGAATTTCAAATCAGAAAGGATCATGAAAAATAGGATTTTAGCAAATCATAAAATGAAACCATTTGGCTCGAAATAAGATTATATACTTACAGAATTACAACATGTGTATTTGAACACTAAAAGCCAAACCAGCAACATGGATTTTAGACTTCAACTTCTTCATTTTAATCTGATAAAGCTCCATATGCATCGCTCTTCACTCTCATTAAATCTCAGCCAAGTTACAGCTATGTACTCATACATATATATATCAACAAAAAACAAAATACATTTAAACTTAAAAACAAAGCTAAGTTTTCATTTTGAACTTCTTTTGAACTGATAGAATAGAAGAAGCTCATACCTTCATCATTGAGAGACCGGTGTTCTACACGCCATAAATCATTAGTAAGAAGCACGTAAATTAGAAAGTAATATTTCAATTCTTGCACATCATTAGTAATAATAATTTTAATAATTTTATGTTAGGACTTTCATCTTTCAAAAAGTCATAGTCCATCTAAATAATAAACAATACTAATCTCCAGTCAATAATAAGTGTATATAGAACACACTAATCAAGAATCAACACAAACAAATACAAAAACCAATATCCAACTAAAAAAATGTGAAAGGAAGTGTCGTCAAAATCTGGTAATATAATTAAGATAAAAACAGTACTCAATATAGCAACAAAACTAATGATTCATGAGGGTACAAACAAAATTGGCCCCTGTTTGGGGGCACTGGGCATTCTTGGAAGCATTTTAAATTATCACATAAAAAGAAAGGCACGCCAGTAAGATTAACAAGAAATTAAAATTGTTACACATTATCGTGAAAATTTATGGAACAAAAATATTTATGGTTTTGGGCTTCGGGTTTTCAAGTACCTTTTCTTTATTCTTTATTTTCATATAAAACAAAGGTAACAATCAGTAAAAACTAAACCAAACAACGAAAAACTTACAGTAAAACGTTCAATTTGAACCCTAAATCAACAACTGGACAAGGAGACCCGGAAGGCACGAGATTTGGGGAAAGAATTTGGAAGAATCGAATAGGAATCAAGAGAGTACATGAAAATAGGGTTCTAAATGCGACAATCAAAATGAGTAAATGAGTTTCTCCTTTCTTTGTATAACGAAATAAATATGTATACCCACCACCAGAAGCGTCTGGCCAGATTCCATTCCTCGACTTCAACTATCGAAATGGCTACCAGAAGGAACTTTTCATCGCCGCCGAAGGAATCTACACCGGTTAGCTCATTTACTATTAACAAGAACACAACATTACAGACAAGGAGGAAGGAAATGACGGTAATTGTTGGGGGAGTGAATAAGAGTAATCTACTTTAACAGGAATCACTACAGAACATACTCAATCTAAAAAAAAAAAAAAGAGGAAACAAATTTACCAGAAATGAGGAGTCCTCAGCGACACGGGAGAAATGGCTTCGCAGCTTCAACGACCTACGGATTGTCCTCCAAAAATGCGGTCCA